AAAATCTATTTAGTTGTTTAATACATAATTCAGAATAATATAATCAATTCTAGTTTTTAGTGGATGCCTAGTTTTATTATGAATTAGATATTTTTGTACCCGCCTTACAAAATTGTAATAAAAAATAGTCTATTATTTTAAAAAAAATTGTTAGAGGTAGCCAACCCTAATCACTTAAGGGTATGAAAAGTGGTACTGAATGTGAATATAAAATATCGTAAAAACTGGTTAATCTATTTCGGAGGAACTAACTGTTTTTTAAATTAATTAAATTTTGTCATAGTAACTAACACATGTCAAAATATTTTATATATGTATAAATATATTACAATATTATTTGCAATATCGATTATTCGAATTATTTATTATTCCATATCAATTATTTATATAAATTTTTCTCTATAGGCACCGAACGATTTTGCCAGGATATAAAGGACATGATTGGTTTCTCACCTGGTATCTATTGGAAAGTTTGTTGGAAATTTGTGGCACCTATATTCCTAATCTTCATTACAATGTACGGTTTACTAGGTAAGTTCTTTGAGATTATAAAAAATATTTATACCAATTTTAATTTTCAATTTTCATTTTCATTTTAATTTTATTGCTATAGGTTACGAACCATTGACTTATGAAGGTTACGTATACCCTTATTGGGCAAATGTGATGGGATGGTGCATTGCTGGTTCAAGTGTTGCCATGATCCCGATTATGGCTGTGATCAAAATTCTTCAGACAAAAGGCAGTCTTAAACAGGTTAGTGCTTTTAATTTTGTAAGTTGATCCAATCGTAGTCGATTTACTTTTATAGTCTTATGTAAATGAATCCGTGTTGATCCTTTTGTTTAAGTTCTAATACTAATATACTTATACACCTTTATATACTTCCACGTTTGTGAATCTTTAAAGATAAACTAATTGAAAATGATTCTAAAACTTAACTGTGTAGAAAGTTTAAATCGATGGCGAAAATCGAATTTTTGATTCGAACATCAATATCTGCGTGGAACATGTTTTATGATAGTAAAATTTATTATGCAATTAGTCATCGTTTCGTAAGCTTGTGGAAATTTGATATCATACTGCTTGATATCGATCTGGATGAGTCGTGGCATTGAACAAAGATGGGCTCAAATGATAAATGGGGTCGAATTTTAAATGTTAAAGATCTACTAACATTTAAACAATTAGTTGTACGTGCGTCACAAAAATTGTCTCGCAACTAGACTGGAAAATATTTAGTCATTCAATGAAGAAATATTCATCTCTAAATTCAAAATATCTACGTTGATAGATTAGATATGCTTTTGCAAAAGCAGTTTTATTTATTCAACGCAAAAAAATTTCTTCCATCCATACATGTTATATTATGTCCACGATTTCTGAAGATATTTACATTTTTTTGATATTTTTTAATTATCCTTTGTCATTTTAATTAAATTATTTTAGCGAATACACATTTTGCTGATACCTTGGAGAGATTCTCAGAGAGCGGTAAATGGTGAAGTCGAGTCAGGTGAAATGCTGGAGGTGTGCGCCAGCCTGACTGCTCCTGCACCAGAAGCCGTCTGAAATAATAATAGTATTTTAAAAAAATACTTTAATTTAATTAATTTATTAAGAACGTTTGCGACGTATGTTTGGATTTATTCTCTAAAGTTTAAATCGTGGCGTGTTAATTTTAACAATTTAATTTCTTTATAAACGTCGAAGAAAACTATGAAGATTTCTCGGATATTTTAATCGTATTTACGTTAGTTTTTTAAAATACTAATAAGAGCATTGCCCTGCTAGCGAAATCATCAATTGTGAATGGAAAATGAATATTTTTGATTTATTGACCAGTACATTGCATCATTGTAAATTGTATTTATTGACCAGTACAATTGTACGATGTACGCGAATTTTAACTGTTCATATAAAAATGGTTTTAAACATAGATATATATATATATATATATATAAAGTAAAATATATAGAATATATTTAAGAAATTTTGTTTAGTACAAATTTAATTTATATTTTACAAATTTTAATTTATATTATACAAATCAATTGTATATTATATTATTATTATTGTTAAGATTTATTAATGGCGTCGATATATGCAATTATTATTACTTAAGATAAATTTTGACTTTGCATATATTTGAAATTTAAAATCTTATTACTACTTAATATATCATATTGAAAATTAATTTTTCAACAAACCACGGTAATCAAATTTGCTACAGCCATGCAAATTTGTTTACAGGACATGAATAATTACTTTAAAATATGATATTACAGTTTTAAAAGCATCAATACGCGATAGAATTGATCAAGATTTTATATGTAGATATTTTTTTAAATATTATTTTCATAATTTAAAGTGTAAATTAACATGTATATCGTAACACAACATAAAAACTTTTAGAAGTCTAACTTCTACTAACTGCAAATTGGCAAAATGGTGGAACTTTCTACTGCGGCACTTTTGTCGATTCAAAAACTAATTAAACAAACGAAATTTTACAAGATATTTTAATTATTTGCGACATTGTACTCGATCTTACAAATCGTTAATAATTTAATTTTCTTTATGTACAAATCGTTATTAAAATACAAATGCATGACAAGAGAACAATAAAATATATTGTAAGTATATGCTTACGTGTTATTGAAATTGAAAGTTGATTCAAACCTTCTGCTGTGAAAACTATTTATAAATAAATAAATTTCTAAACGCGCAAGCCGAAAAAATTTGCACTATTGTGGAATCAATCTCCTGGTATAACAAACAGTTGGTAAAAATCTATATATTATTTTGTGAACTACAATTTTAACACGTTTATTGTTTTTTGGAATGATTTCTGAATTTGATTTTGATCACCAACCAAAGTATATTAATATCCATTTTCTGGTGAGCTGATCTTGGGACCAAGTTGGTGTTATTTGTTTGATAATGTTTACAATTAAAATATATAAGGAAGGTTTCATTGAAACAAAACATAGTGCTAAATCTGAAAGCTTGCTTAATATATTCGATATCCACACTTCAAATACTCAACATACTTCTATGTAAACATTAAGTTGTTTACGTTCTATAATTTTGCTTTGCTGACCATCATGTATTAGACCTTCTTGAACCAAATTTGTTTATTCTATTCTATCAGCATAAGAGCGATGTAATATTAAATATACGAATACTCGTTAAAAATCAAAGTATGTAATTATAAAATATATCTCTGTTTTATTAGACAATGTTAATCTATGTATATCATTTTATACTAAACATGATATTATTAGTAAGTATTATTGATAATAAATATTAATTTGCCTTTTTACGCATGAGGGCGAGAGAAAATATTGTATGTAGAATATTATTAATATGACTAGTACTTATAAACATATTTGAGAAAAAATAATGAATTATTTACATGTGTGCCCTATAAATAATTAAATATTATTGGAATCTAAAGTTCAATAATATTAAAGGAAAAAACATTTATCATGAAGTTTATTTTAAAATGGATGTATAATTCATAAATATAACGACAATCTTTCAGCATCTTGATTCATTTTCAAAAGAATTACTTAATTGCGGCCAACTTTTGAAAATGTATCGAAAGTTATTGAAATATGTTGTGAATAGGAATAACTTTTATTTTAGAATATGAAAAGTATGTGCAAACCTTTTGTTGGAACTTTCCTATTGAAAAGTATTAGTATATAGGTACGTCTATTTCTAATGATAAAGTATCACATAATGGCATATAATGCAAATTCTGTTAGATATCGACTAAAGTATATATATATATATATGTATATACATATATATATATATATATATATATATATATTATATATATATACGAGTATATATATATATCATACACTCAAAACTTTTATATGTAAAAATATGTGTGTAAGTCAGCGTTTTATGTGAAAAATAAGGTAAAGGATCCAATTATTCAAAATTGTGCTGCTATAATGCTTAATTTTATTATTTTAGCACGCATAAAAATACATATAAATGAATACCGATGAGCAAGTATTCAATGTTACCTATAATTGAATGACACAGATATTTTATCAGGAAATATATAAGAAAATTTCCTTCCGGGCCTATTAAAGGCTCTTGATATGTATATATTTAAAACAAATATCTGTGTCATAATAACTGATAACTTTAGTTTATGTCTAGAGTAAAATTTTTATTTTTTCTGAATATTATTTAATTCGTGCCAGTTTACATTTGAATGTGCTAAAAGTATGTCATGAAATCAGCTATATTTAAGTTTTTAGGTAAGAATTATTATACAATTTTAAATTGAATTTCTATCAATTTCATGTTCACATACACCTGTGTGCGCATATTTACATAAATCTTTATATTTATCCTAAAAAGTTTCAATTAAAGATTTTCGTTAATTTTACAATGTTAGAATTTAAACAATTTTGACTTATTTTGTAAAGAAATATTGTTAATAATTAATTAAATAATTAAACAATGTTCAGTTTAGAAATACAAATTACATCAACAGTCGTTTGTTTTCATTATGATTTGTCAATTTTGCTTGGAAAATTTCGTGTCACTGGTAAATTATAAATATTTTTTATAATTAAACTAGACTTGCGGCAACACGCATTTTATTTTCAGATATCTATCAAAACATAAAAACATCTGAAAAATCTATTATTAATTTCAAAGGGTAATAAATTTGTTTATAATGATGAAATTGACACGTTTATTCCATTCTATTTGTGATTTTTTTGTTATTTAGGACAAATTGTTTCTTCGGATTTGATTTACCTGAGAGTCATTGAACCATGAAATCATTGCTTAAAGGTAGTATCTTTACGGATTTGTGCAAACGGAGCACAAACGTGGTGGCAACGTCAAATAAAAAACAGGCACCTGTGGAATCCATATTTGAGCCGATATTACCTGAAGTGCGCCGCAAAATTTTGTTCACCAGTAATCAATCATGCAAGAGTTGTTTTGGTGGAAAAATAAAGATGCGCAGCGGACTAGGAGGTAATAATATCTTAATTTTCCGAAGAAGTTTATGTTTTCGTCAGAATGAACGATATTTTAATCGTTTGACACCAAAATATATGTGAATGAGTAAGCTCAAAAACCGTTTGAAAGATATCATCAGTTGAGAAACGTTATGATTAGTTTTTGGTAAAGATCAGGCGATCCGTTTTTTCGTTATTGACAATTTCAATGAAACTTTGTATGATGATAGAGTTCATATGGTTTTAACCAACATTTTAAATTATCATAAGCCATAAAATGTTTTATTCATAAAAGTTCATTAAATGTAATTAATATACGGTAAAAGAAATGGTTCTGCCAGAAATGATACACTAATATCATGATAATGTACCATTTTTGGCAGAACCATTTTTTTTTTCAATTTACAAATAGCTTGCTTTATTCAATTTATCAATCGATCTTTGTATAGATTTTGGAAATTATAAATAGAGCTACTGATAATTCTAATAACAAAGTCCAAGGAGGGTATTAAACGTGGAACCTTTAATTCAAATCTTATAGCTCTAACCACTAATTCTCGGGTGAGCCAACATCTTTTATAAAACTGAATAACGAGAAGGTAATATCATTCAAGTAAAGTACCATTTTTAGGTTGAGGGATGCAAGAGATCTTAGATTAGAGATCACTAGCAAACCTTTCCTTCCCCAGTCAACCAAACCCGATAAATTTGGCTATAATAAAAAATTGACACAGCTCATCTATAAGATTATCATATTATAAGATTGTCAATCGTTTTATTAATTTTCTACGCGTAACATTTTGCGCAATTTCTCTCTTTTGTTTTATGCTTATATATTATGTGAGAAATATTAATCTGGTATTAGTGCAGAAAAGCGCTAATAATACTTCTTTTCGAGTTTGCTCGAAATAATTTCGGTATGGATTAAGAGTGAGAGAGATATGTGTCAAATTATAATTCGAATTATTTGCAGCGAGATTCAAGTAATAATCGATTAATTTTTCAAATCTTATGTGAAGTCATATAATTTTAATAATTATTTTGGTGACGGCAGTTTTTATATATTTTAAGATAATATATATAAAAAGGCAATACCTTAGTATTTTTTCAATTGTATAATACCATAAAATCTATAATATTTTCAAATCTAGCATGAGAGTACATATATATTATATAAAAATTTAAACAAATTTATCATATAATGAAGATTAATTAACTAAGTGTAATTGGCATTTACCGTAAGGCACCGAAAACGAATACACGTCTAATACAAATACTGGACAATTTCTAAAAGCGCGGCTCACGCGGTTCCAAGTTTAATACCCTCCTTGGACTTTGTTATTAGAATTATCAGTAGCTCTATTTATAATTTCCAAAATCTATATAAAGATTGATTGATTCTGCCAAAAATAATACATTATCATGATATTAGTGTATCATTTGTGGCAGAACCATTTCTTTTACTTTGTAACATGTTTGCATTCTTGTTTTGAGAAAATTACTAATGTAACTTCATATATGATTAACAACATAGCTAAAAAAGATAAGTAAAATGTAAAAAAAATTATACTATCTAAAACATTAAAAAAATATCAATAATTACATATTCACATTTTTGCGAATATTGTTTTAAATAACATTTGTTAAATATTTTATAAATGAAAAAGATTCATAATTAATTTAAAGGCATAGTTTAGTAAGATAATTTTTAAAAATACCGTAAAATAAATTAATCTTTAACATAAATAGAATATTTATTCAGAAGCGAGCATTCAGAAATAGATTTATTAATATTAACTGATATAAGCCATTATTGGTACAAAAAATTCTTATAATTTTATTTTTTATTTGTTAGGTAAGTTGAGCAAGAAAATTGAATTTTACAAATTGATTTTATATATATTTAAATTTAAATAGCAAAACATGATTCTTTTGTATTATGAAAAATCATCAAACACGTAATTATTAAAACTTTAATATGTTTAGCGTAATATTGTGGATATAATCAGAGAAATTACTTTTATTAATTTAATAAAAGTAATTTAAGATCTATAGAGAATTGCCACTTAATATTATGTTGAAGGGACCAAAAACATAAAGATATAGAAACAATTGATAAAAAAAGCCATTATGAATTTATATATAAAGCATTTGGCAAAACAAATATGTATTTATTAATTTCTTTGATTATATTACAAATTTGGGAAAAATAACTAAATTATTTTAATTTTAGTGAGCTCAAGTTTCATAAGAAGTGCGCATACGGATATCAGAGTTCCAGACTTTTCTGAATATCGACATACTGCAACAAAAAATCCCAAAGTTAGGAGTTCGGACTCGGCTCAAAGTAGAAGAGGGTACACTTATTTGCTAACAGCAAGTAATTGAAAAATATAGCCTTAAATATTGTTAATAAAATTAATATTATTTTAATATATTTATACATATATATATATATATATATATATATGTGTGTGTGTGTGTGTGTATGCTCGATTTGAGTTTAAAATTCAGGCGTAACATCAATAAAAATAGTATGAGAGTTTTTTTAAAAGTTTATTTATTTAAAATCCATACAAAACTATAAGTGTTTTATTATTATTATTATTATTATTATTATTATTGTTTTTCTCTGAAATCCCTTACATATTATTTAGTTTCAATTTTTATAGTTAATTTGATTATCACTGAATGATGGCTAAGATGCTAGCCGAAACGTATGGATTTTAAATAAATAAACTTTTAAAAAAACTCTCATACTATTTTTTTTGATGTTACGCCCGAATTTTAAACTCAATATATATATATATGTGTGTGTGTGTGTGATAATATTTTTAAATATGTTGATAAAACTATAAACTTTTTAAACGGGCATCCATCCAGATAATACATATAAAGAAAAAAATATTTTGTTCGTTGAGGTGACCATTAAGTCCGTACGTTTCCAAGCAAATATGCACTAAACACAGAACGAAAATGTTACAAATAAAAATTGTTACAATAATATAATAATATATATATATATATATATATATATATTGAATGGTAGAGTCTTGGATTTGTGTATATTTTGTAGAGTTTCGAACAAGAATCCAAAAATAATACAAAATAAAAAACAAGAAAAGTTTTTAAAAAAACAATTTCTTTATTTAATTATTTGTTTATTGTCGACGTTTCGGAACTAGGTACGTTCCATCTTCCTGAAGATGGAACGTACCTAGTTCCGAAACGTCGACAATAAACAAATAATTAAATAAAGAAATTGTTTTTTTAAAAACTTTTCTTGTTTTTTATTTGTATTATTTTTGGATTCTTGTTCGAAACTCTACAAAATATATATATATATATATATATATATGAATTATATTAATAAAATTAATTAAAAAGAAAAACAATAAATTTGAACATCACATCTCAAAGGACGAAACATAAATGTGATGTTCAATTTTATTATTTTTCTTTTTAATTAATTTTATAAATATAAGTCAATATAAGTTATTATTTTTTCATTAACTTGTCTCTAAGTAACAATTTTTATTTGTAACGTTTTTGGTTAGTGTTTAGTGCATATTTGCTTGTATATTGTTCTATTGCCAATAAAGAACAGTCAAATTGGGACTCGAAACATATATGGGCCATAAATTCACCTTAACAAACAAAATATTGTTTTCTTTATCTTTATTATCTGGATGGATGCCTGTTTAGAAAGTTTATATATATATTATATTGATATATATATATATATATATATATATATATATATATATGAATAAATATATACTTATTAATGTAGGTACAGCAGTAATTGGTTTATACTGTGCAAAAGCTGTTGTACATGATCTGGTGTTGTCTATGTCAGCTTCTGCAGATGTTTTAGCAATGGCCAAAATAGAAATTAAGCTGTCCGAAATACCTGAAGGAAAATCGGTAACGTTCAAGTGGCGTGGAAAACCGCTTTTTGTTAGGCATAGGTAAGATTTGTTCTACTTAAGATAATTATATGCTTCAAAAAATCAGATAGTAAATTTACTATAAGCATTATAGTAGAAAATAACACTAGCTTTACATGTTTAGTTAATATTCTTTTCGAATGTTCAACTTTTCAAATATTTTTTTGAATTTATTGTCTATATTTATTTTCAATTTTGTTTAGGACGCAGTCTGAAGTAGACATCGTGAATGCAGTTCCACTGAGCATTTTGCGCCATCCTCAGATGGATAGCGAACGAACTCAGAAACCAGCCTGGTTGATTGTTATCGGAGTGTGCACTCATCTTGGTTGCGTACCAATAGCAAATGCTGGGGACTTTGGAGGGTATTATTGCCCTTGTCACGGCTCGCATTTCGACGCTTCGGGCAGGGTCAGGAAAGGACCAGCTCCACTCAATTTAGAAGTGCCGCCATACACATTTCCCGAAGAAAATGTCGTAGTTGTCGGTTAAATTATCAGTTTCAATAAGCTGGTGTTTAGCAATATTATTCAGTATACGTGGATTCTGACAAATTGTTGTTGTTTGTTAGACACGAGTTTTACTTCAATAAACGTAATATAGCATAATAGATCTCTTATAATCTTAATCTATGATTGTATATATATGTGCGTGTGTTTTTTTTTCATTCATTTTCTTTTGGTTTTGATTTATCTGCAGTAAAATATTCACAGCAATACATATGACTTAAGTTAACTAAATACAAATAATTTGTGAATTTGTGGACTAGTTTTATATTGGTTTTTAAAACAACTTCTTTAAATGTGTCTTTAATATCACCATTAATTGTAACTGCTTTTAAGTGCTGTGCTTTTTACTATTATTACTTATTCTTATTTTGTTTCAATTTTTCATTAATAATCCCATTGAAGATGATATAGAGTAATATATTGAAATGTTTGGTGTTCAATAAAGATTTTATACTAACTTACAAACTTTGCTATTGATTAAGAAATGTTTTTATCAAAGCAATGAAAAATGTATTCAAATTGCTATAATTTACAAGTCAAATACAAAGTAATATAATAGACATTTTACAATTGCATTTGACTCTGATATAATGAGGAGAAATGTTTATTTCTCAGGATACCTCATTACATGTAGGACAAATTATATATTAGTTTTAAAGTTATATTATATATTAGTTTCTAGTTCTATTTGTAATATTTTGAAATTATATAAATATAAATACTGCCAATTTATATAGTCTTATATTATACTGCCAATTCTAATCATAACTTACTTATTTCCAAAATCTTAACTTAGTATGTGTGTTAATAAGCTTAATTTTTGAAATGCACCTAAAAAAACAAAGGTGATTGTATAATATTAAGTTAGTATAAAATTTGGCTTATTTGTGATAGATACTGTTACTTGTTACTTGTTTACTATTGAGAAACATTATTATCAAAGCCATGGAAATGTGTTCAAAATACTATTTTTTAAGTTAAAAATTTTATTTCTCTGTTGTTGCTTATACCATATGGAACAAATTATATATTAGTTTTAAATATATACGAGGTCTGTTCAAAAAGTACCCGGAATTTTCGTTTTTTCAAAAAAATATTTATTTATTCGTCTACATTAATGTGGTCCCCTTCAAAGTAGTCCCCCCCAGATATAATACACTTATGCCAGCGTTTTTTCCAATTTTCGAAGCACCCTTGATATTCACTTTTTGATATGTCCTTGAGCACTCTCAGCGATTTTCTTCAATCGAGGAAAACCGCCGTCCTTTCATGGGTCTCTTCAACTTTGGGAATAGGAAAAAGTCACACGGAGCCATATCTGGTGAATATGGAGGTTGGGGCATGACTACGGTATTGTTTTTGGCCAAAAAATTACGAACAAGCAACGACGAGTGAGCAGGTGCGTTATCGTGGTGCAACAGCCATGAATTGTTTTTCCATAAATCGGAGCGTTTTTTTCGGATTGCTTCACGCAAACGTCGCATCACTTCAAGGTAATACTCCTTATTAACCGTACGACCTTGTGGTAAGAACTCTTGATGCACTATGCCGTTATAATCAAAGAAAACAGTAAGCAAAACCTTGACATTCGATCGAACTTGACGTGCTTTTTTCGGTCTTGGCTCACCTGGGCTCTTCCATTGGGACGATTGGGCTTTGGTTTCGACATCATAACCGTACACCCATGTTTCATCACCAGTTATGACCCTTTCAAGCAAACTTGGATCGTTGTTGACGTCATTTAACAGCTCTTGAGCGATGTTCATGCGATTGCTTTTTTGGTCAAAATTTAGCAGTTTTGGAATGAATTTTGCTGCCACTCGTTTCATGCCCAAAACATTTGAAAAAATGTTATGACATGAGCCAATTGATATGCCAACTTCATCAGCAACTTCTCTAATTGTGATTCGGCGATCATTCATAACCATTTTTTCCACTTCTTTCACATTTTCATCGTTTGTTGACGTGCTGGGTCGACCGGAGCGTTCGTCATCTTCAACGTCTTCGCGGCCATCTTGGAAACGCTTATACCACTCGTAAACACTTGTTTTTTTCATAGCAGACTCACCATAGGCTTTTGTAACATTTCACACACTTTGTTACACTTTATTTCATTTTTTACGCAAAATTTAATACAAATTCTTTGACTTTTCAATTCTTCCATTGTAAAAATCGCCGAGCTCAGAAAAACACGTCGAACCTTAGCGACTACCACAGACAAAGTAAACAGTGAATATAGCTGAAAATTTCATCATACTTTAGGGGCATGTATACCAACACAATAAAAAAAAAATTTTGACAATCAGACACTCCAGACCCGCGAAATTTAAAAACTCCGGGTACTTTTTGAACACACCTCGTATATTATTCGCTAGTTATTATATATACATTAATGTATTCTCGCTTTTGCGTGTAGAACAATAAAATTTCGTGAATTGATAAATTGAGTTTGTATTGTTTAATTTATTTATATAAATTATTATATGTGAATAAACTGTTCTTTCCAGTTGAGAATATTTAATAACATTCAAATTTTCATTTAAAATAATATTTGTTTAATGGACATCTTACAATTTAACAAGTAGTGCTAATCTACTGTGATTGCATTAATTACAAATAAGCATGTTTGTAAATGTATATATGTTTTAATAGATTTGTAAATTCTAATTACAGTTTCACTTTTTAACTTCCCGTAAGGCAAGTTATAGTAATCGCAAAAAAATCGAAAATGAAATTTTTTATATATCTTTACGTTTCAAAACCTTCTGAACATTTTGGGATACCTTAAAAAAATGGATGTATGTATGTGTGTGTATGCGAGTGTGTGTGTGCGTGTATGTGTGTGCGTGTATGTGTGTGTGTGCGGATACAAATTTTCGTCGACGATTTCGGGAACACGGATGAAGCGATTTGAATAATTCAAAAAACATTCGAATCGTATTGATAAGGAGACGTGCTCATTAGTTTTTGGCGAAATTACTAGACGTTCCGAGGATATGGGGCAAAAAGTGCCAAAAACGGTAACTCAGTTTTTAAGAGAATGGAGCGTCCGATTTGAATAATTCAAAAAGCATTTTACTTGTATTAACAGGATGAAGAACTGATCAAATTTTTATGAAGGCAGGACAAGCGGTTTCGGGGATCTAGTAAAAAAAGTAAAAAAAATGCGATTTGGCGGTCAAAAATGATCATTAGATATATGCACAGATATTTTATAGAGATTTTAACAATAAGTACAAATTTTGTTTACATTCCTATGGGTTCCGTATCAATGTTTATCCGTTGGACGGCTACGCGGCGCTTACGCGCTTTGATAATTCATCTCTATGCATTTAAAGCAGTAAGATTGCTTTGAAAAAAAGTACAGAATTTCCAAAACATTCCAAAATATTTTTTTTCAAAGTCTTTTTTTTCATAAAAAGTAAGTTTTTGTCAAAAATTTATAGTTTCTCAAAAATCTAATTTTTTCAGAGAATTTTTTTTTTCAAAAATGTTAATCTTTTAAAAAAAAAAAATTGGTACAGGAAGTTCCAGCAATTTGCCTTAAGACACGATGCCATGCGCTCCATTAGTTCAAGTTTTAATTCTCAATACGTATAGAACGTGCAGCGTATAAAGCGATATATAAGTGTATATACTGATATTATAAAACCGGGATTATAATTATATATCTAATGACGCATAAAACTATATATGAGTTATAAATTGATATTCCTTAAAAACCGTAACCATAATCTAATAATCTAATAGCGTATAAAAGAATCCAATAGGAATCCACCAAGATTCCTACGTTTCTAAGGCGTTTGCATGCAGCGCCTCTATGGAAAATTGTTCCCAAATCGTGAGGAACTACGTAGTGACTATCGGGTGCATATGGAACTAAACATATATACTCTTCTTTTATCTATGTTCGATGTGATGAGTGAACAATACAAACTACACCCCTGATGCTAAAATAATATAACGACATATTGCAAAACTGTTACCAGTTGACTTGACAGCTTGACACATTAATTCTTACTTGTTTAAGTGTTGAAAAGCCGGGAGAACTTTGCAGATTTGATATTCCAGGATTGATTATCTATTTATAACCTCACACCTAGTTATATACGATAAAAAATCAAGGTAAATTTAATAACCTATATCGTTAACAAAGTTTATCAGATTTCAATTGTAAGAAGTATATGTATGGTTAAAAAATCATTTTGGATCTTTATATTTTTAATAACTTTAGATGATGGTTTGTGCATCGTTCTCGACTGAATCGATATGTTGCATTAAATTGCGGATATCTAATTGAAAAATACCGCCTCTTCATTTTTATATCTTATATCTTTAACTAATACCATAATATTATGTTTGCAGAAATGCCTCCAAAAAGGACCAAAAAAGAGGAGGAGTCGTCTGATAGCGATGAGGGGCCAGTTGATGTAAGTTGATTCATACTAAAAGATCTAAAGTAATTGATTATAATTCAAGCTTTTATAAAAAATAGCCTAAAAAACTGAAGGTTTCAACTGTTTTACACTGCCCAATATTATGATTGACTTTTCCAAATAAGTATTATATCTACCTGACATTTCGTTGTACAATTATCAAATTCTTTAGATCTAGTTATTAACGAATTTGTTTAACTTGAAATAACTATTTTAGAGAAACCCTCCACCGTCTAAAAAATCGAAAACCCCCTCATCAAATAAAGAAGAATCAGAATCAGACACTTGGACGCTCGAAAAATTAAGAAAAGTAACGATACGTGAGTTTAAAGGGAAAGTAATGGTTGATATAAGAGAGCATTATCTTGATGCGTCAGGTGAAATGAAGCCTGGAAAAAAGGGTATATCACTCTCGGCCACACAATTTAACAAACTCGCTGATCTAATTCCAGAAATAAAAGAAAAACTAAAGAAATATTAATTTTATTTTTTGTTTTCAAAAATGTCTCAAGTTCCATTTAATTTAATAAAATGATATAACCATATGATGTGTATTTTTATTTTTTGACTTCACCGTATGATTGTCCCAATTTTCATTAGCTTCAATTTTGTTTTGATTTCTATACATTATAATAATATATTTTTTGTAACTGTAAGAAGTCTTACTTCAATAATACTTATCAAGTTTTTATCCAAGTGTCTGAACAGTTTGCCAAACAATTTTTATTTTTTAGAAGTATTGTATAAACTTTTAGTTACTTTCTTCCATGAGTGTTTAAAATAAATTGCACTTGTTTCAACTTAAAAAAAATTCAATTAGTTATGAATCCATATTGATATATGATTAACTCACTAATTACTCAATATGTTTCATATTCCTATAATTATTACTTGCCCTGTTTTAAAGTTTGAAAATCATTTCTCTCTGAAAGTAAGACTCTCTAATAAATAATCCTGAATAAAATTGAATGTTTGAAGGACAGCCCATACCTAGTAAATTTTAGAAGTTCAAGTAATATATTGATGGACTTCATTACTATGTTATTCTTTACTTTTATCAAACTGACTATAATTTACACAATGTTACTTGAGTACAAATTACTTATTTTTCATCATAGTAGCATAACATTTGAACCAAATAATGCATATGCAAAAGTGATCCCAATAGTATAATGTATTATTATTACCTAAGTAAACATACAAGACTTCAAATCTCAAACTATCTTAATCGTTTTGTATCAAAATAATCAAAAAAAATCTTTTGGTACATATGAATTACTGGACGTCAATATTGCATTGGAATAGATCAAGTCTTGTCACAGAGAAACTTTAATATCTTACAATCATTAATCCTGATTCATCAGATTCCCCAAACTTTGAAATAAAGCCAAGAAACAAGACCATGCGATGGTAGAAAGTGTAGTAACAGCAGAAGACTGCACTTTGATTTATCTGATATTGGGTATTGGAAACATTTGGATATGAATATTTTGAATCATATGATATGTAAACTAATTTCGAACTTGCGGATCAATAAACATTCTTGAGCTTCCTCCCCATATTGAAAATGTTCTGGGCTGTAGAGAGCAATTGAATAATTATTTTTTTGTAAGTACAGTTCCCTGTGTGATAAGCCATTCTTGTTACAATATTTATGATTTCGAATACAGATGTGTCTTGATAAGGTTGTGTTCAATCCATCCAGTTTCTACCTCAATCTGTATATGTACGTACTTTCAAAAATATTATAATACTATCCTTTGCAAAACTTTGATCCTTTTTTTTTTCATTTTAGATGCCTACAAATGCAACTTCTGACTGGTCAGTTGAAGACAAAACTACATTTTTAAGAGTCGTTAAGGAATATGGACTGAGCAATATGTATCAAATATGTAAAGCACTGCCAAACCATTCCAAGGGAGACATTGAGATCTTTATTAGAAATCAGATGAAATTGAGATCAAAATACAAGCAAATTGTTTCAATTATACAACGAAGTCAAAGACCAGCAAGGGTTTCTAAGAGGAATAGAGATAAAAGTTGCATCGATTTGTGGATAGATTTGTTATGTAAGTATCTAGTGTTATTTTAAAATTTTATATATATATAATAATATATATATAATATATATATTATTGGTCATTGGACTGTCAGAGTGATAACCAAACTTATCAATTATTTTTTTCATCAGATGATTTGGTATGGCTTAAATGTATTTAATTTTAATTAATAGCTATTTTTACCTTTATGGAAAATTTCATATTTGAATTTGCTGATTTAACTTCATAATTTTTTTAAAAAAATTGTTATTTTTCTTATCCAATCTGTTATTTATTTTAGATGTTATGTTATTTACTTTAGATTATGTACATTTCTTCATAGTTTATAATTATTTTTTCAACAGTAAAATATCATATGGATATTCCAAGGTACTTCAACCCTATAGCTTTCTCTATGCAGCTTATAAGTGACTTTGGTGTGCACAATTCTGGTTCCGAAGAAGATGTAGATTTTAAAAAAATATATTTATATATAAGTCAAGCATTGCAAGGTGTGAATCCATGTCAACTTAACAAAAATACAGATATGTTTTTGCGGAAAATTTTAGCAGACTTAGCTAAAGAACATGAAGATGAAAGTAAGTTTATTGCAGAAAGATCATTTGTGAGTGAAATTAAGACTAACAAAATATCACTCAAAAAAGTAAAAATCTATGAAACTCATACTAATTCATTATTAGCAAATATAAAAAATATTCAAGAAGATAGAGAATTGAATCCGTTGGATGTTCCACTAGAGATGATTACAGATGAAACTTGAAAATTTTCTATTGAAACATAACAGAATGCCAGAACAATTTGCATGTTTTTAAAGCTTTAAAAAAGCGGGTCTAAATGCTTTCACTTTCAACTCAGTGATTTAATTTTAAAAACAAAAAATATTTGAAGAATAAATATGTATAACATGCAGATTATAAATATCTAATATATAACTAATATAAGGAAATGTAAAGTTGTAATTGTAAGTGACTTTGGTGTGCACAATTCTGGTTCCGAAGAAGATGTAGATTTTAAAAAAATATATTTATATATAAGTCAAGCATTGCAAGGTGTGAATCCATGTCAACTTAACAAAAATACAGATATGTTTTTGCGGAAAATTTTAGCAGACTTAGCTAAAGAACATGAAGATGAAAGTATTTTATTGCAGAAAGATCATTTGTGAGTGAAATTAAGACTAACAAAATATCACTCAAAAAAGTAAAAATCTATGAAACTCATACTAATTCATTATTAGCAAATATAAAAAATATTCAAGAAGATAGAGAATTGAATCCGTTGGATGTTCCACTAGAGATGATTACAGATGAAACTTGAAAATTTTCTATTGAAACATAACAGAATGCCAGAACAATTTGCATGTTTTTAAAGCTTTAAAAAAGCGGGTCTAAATGCTTTCACTTTCAACTCAGTGATTTAATTTTAAAAACAAAAAATATTTGAAGAATAAATATGTATAACATGCAGATTATAAATATCTAATATATAACTAATATAAGGAAATGTAAAGTTGTAATTGTAAGTTGCAAGTACTATATATTGTTACTATCATCTTTTGGCAAGAAGTTCATATTTAACAACAAATAATTTGAATATCTAAGAAGAATATGTATTGAAATTAAAAATATAATTTAATGCAATTACAAACTGATAACCATTATGTTTCTAATGAAAGATAGGGTCATCATCGTTTTACAATTTTACTTAAAATATAGTAATCCTCGCCATCATCTTCACCAGGAGATATTTCATCTTTTTCATAGCTATAATAGTATTAAAAAATTCAACATTACAAATATACTTCATGATACTTTTCAATAAATAGTCATATATTTACCCAATCTTCATATAAAATTGAAATGCATCAGTATTCTTTTTGAATACAGTTAGCACAACCTTTTCCATATTTTGCTTTAATGCAATATGCTCTAAAATAGTCATTAAATGTTTGCCAATGCCAAAATTTTGATATTTTTTGATTACTTGCAGTTCATAACTAAAATATAAATTGCAGTAAATTTATTAACATATATATATATAATATATATATATATATATATATATATAATTTATGCAATTACATTTACCAATATAAAACAGTATAAAAATTTTCTACATCAAATCGAAACATGGAAAATGCTACTGGTATATCATTATGATATGCAACTAGGAAGCGTGCCCATTTAGAACTAATTTCTGACTTCTTTCGTTTGGGATTCCATCCCCATTGTGATTCAACGTAACTAGAATAAATAAATAGTAAACAATTTGAAAATATATGATAAATAATAGTTAACAAAATCAAATATACTAGGTTTTACTGAATAAGTCACTGGGCATCCGTATATGTATTTCTTGATATAATTTGATGTTCTAGAATTAAGTTTGAAATATACATATACATAAAATTTCAATAACCAAAATAAAAAAAATAAATAGAAATTATTGGAAAGTTTTGGTTCATAAAGTACTCTAATGAAAGCCATTGAAATATATTTTTGGGTCATTTAAAATAATTACTATAATTATAAAAGAATTAGCTTTAGATATATATAATTATCAATAAAATATTGTGAATTTAATATCGAATGGAAAAAACAACTACTGAGTTGTTTTTTCCAACATGCCAATGTAGTATACAGTGTCCCTTTTCGGCCGACTATTGTAAATTCATCAAATTTACTGAAAGTCCTTTACTGGACAGCTGTAAATAAAAGAGTTTAATAAAAAACATCTAAGTACATTTGAGCAGACTACATAATTACAATTTTGCATGCGTATATAAAGGAAATCCATCATACTAGTGTTTAACATTTTCTTCTACTAAGTTGTATGTCCAATTAAGAAGTTCTTCTGTTTTCTCAGAATTTGTACATTTACAACATATCTTGATCGACTTGTCTTCTGTTTGAAATTCTAAAAGATCTGACTTAGCTTCTATTAGTACATCTTTCCTTTCTGCTAGTTTAATTCTCAATCTTGAGGCAGTTGTCATTTTAACGTTGATAAAGTTTGCAAATTTTAATTATTACTATAAATATATCTATTATTATAACAAGTAGTGTTCAACGGTTATTTAAAAATAACTAAAACTAACGCATTAAATTCACAATTCACGTCTCTATAGCTAGATTATTTTTTAGCAGATGATTTTGGAATGGACAATATATGAAACTTTTCGGTTTAAATTAAAATATCAATAAAATAAATTCAAACTTATTCAATTTCCATTTTATTTGACATAAACATTCTTAACCTCCCTCGATATATTAACCGCGCAGAGGTACCAACTACCAACCGACATAATAATTCGCGCGGGAACTTCGCGCTTATGTCAAATCATTGGCAAAGTTTGAAATAAAAAGAGAACTATTTTTATAAACGCTTATTTGAATTTAATTCTGCATTATAATCGTGTTATATGTACCAAACAATAATAAATTTTAATAGATATGCAATCGAATGTGAATATAAAGCAAAAAATATTGCAACCGGTTTAAATACATCTGTTCACACAGAATCCATTATAACAACTTTTTTCTATTTTAACTTAAAACTACAAAAATTTAGTGAAATTCAGTGTACTTTAAATTATTAGTCTTAGTGCATTACATTTTCCAGTGTAATTCTTTATTATTATATAATGAAGTCAGTTAGGTACATATCAACTTGAATATTCAGTAAACTCAAATGCTCCGTACTTCTTCTAATATAAAGGGCACCCCGGCTTACGAGCGATTCGTCATGAAAGTTTTTCGAGATACGAGCCGCAAAAGAAATGCTCGTTTGCTTCTTTATACGAGCTAAATTCGAGATACGAGCCGTCAAAGAAGCTATTGGTTGCTTCATCTTTCAAGCAAAATTCGAGGTGATTCCAGGTATGCGCGAGTGCGAGTTTTTTATTTTATTTTTTTTTTTTTTTATTTATTTGATATAATTCATACATACTGTATTTCAGTCAGACAATTGTTTTGGTATGAGAGATCACAGCAATTATAACAAAAATAAAATCTAAATTTTGTGTAACAGGCTTACATTAAGACATTTATATATTTTTACTTATTACTATTATACACACATATATACACAGAACGCTTGCGTACATACATGCATACTTTATACTTAATTGTAATTAATATTTTTACAAAACAAAAATAATATAGTATTTAAAATAAGGAATTCTATCTCATTTATCTCTTATGTAATTTTTCAATTTAATTTTGAAACTGTTTGTCTTTAGTTTGTCCGGTAGTTTATTGTAAAGGCTGCTTGCACCAAGAGGACTTGCAAGTCCAAGGTTTAACGTAATCTTATGAGGGTGGGAATGAAACAGGTTCATCAAATATCAATTGTCAAAAAAATTTACTCGAATATTTTATTGTAGTACGGGAAGTTCCAGCAATTTGCCTCAATGCACGATGCCATGCACCACTTGTTTTTATTAATTTTTGAAATAAGTATTTAGCACATTCCATAGTGTTTCATTTCATCCATGAAAGTTTGAGTAAAATACTCAAATCATATATATTACATATATTTGGTGCAATAGTTTGAACTGCAATATTTAAATCTTTGGGGACAGCTGTCCACCTGAGTGGACAACTTACTTTGTTAGGCTAACTGTGAGGCACAGGTTATTTTATAAACAATGACTCAGTTTGCATCAAAACATTGAATAGATTACAGTTTGAAGCAGTGATTAACAGTATTGTATTTTCGACAGTGTTGCATTTTAGAAGTATTTTTAGACATTTTCTTTGCCATATAGTCTTTGTTAAATATGGCAAAACGACCAAGTGCTTTTAAATATGGCAAAACGACCAGTGCTGGATTACCCCATAGGCCCGTAAGGCCCGGGCCTAGGGCGGCACAATTTGGGGGGCGGCAAATTTTTCCGATTTTTTTTTGTCACGGCAATTTATTTTAAGGATTGATCTTGATCTAGATAATTCTTTATGAAATAGAATGTTATTCGTATTTTAATCAAACTTATTCAAGAGCGCCCCATTAATATTTTTAGTGATGTATCATGTTTAAAATAAAAATTATCAAATTAATAAGCTTTTTTGTGAGAAATAAAATAAAATAAAACTAGTGGGGTGTATGCCATTGCGCCTTAAGGAAAATTGCTGAAACTTCTCGTACCGTAACGAAATGTTCAAAGAATATTAAATGTTTTCAAATAGATTATTACAAATAAATACTGTAACATTGTCTAATATTTATAAGAATTATATAAACTGAATTTCAAAGTTGAAACTATTTTAAAAAGTATATAAGTGAGCTTTAAAACTTTAGTCAGAATCAAAAATAAAATCTGAATTATTTTCGATATACAAAAAAAAATTGAAACAGATTTTTTTTCCAAAATCAATTATTTTGTTAAAACAAGCAGAAAGTTTTTTTGAATCATTTAAATCGGACGCTGGACGCAAAGGTAGGCCCAGCGGTTTCGGAGATACAGAGCTAAATGTTAAAAAATTGCAGTTTTTAAGAGAACTAAGCGTGCGATTTAAATGATTCAAAGAACTTTCTGCTTGTTTCACCAAAATAATTACTTTTGGAAAAAAAATGTTTGTTTCTATTTTTTTTTTCAAAAATATTTTTTCGTGATTATACGGGAGCACTTTTTCAATTTTGTGTAAATTAGACAACTATTTTTTTTTTAAATTGAATTCGAAAAGAAATAACGATTGTTAATGTTCTGCAGATAAATTGATTTATGATTTACATTTTATTTGCTCAGATATAACAAGATATAACAAAAATAGGAAAGTTGCAGTATCTGTAATAATATATTTGAAAACCGTTTAAAATTTCTCGAAGATTCCATTACGGTACGGAAAGTTCCAGCAATTTGCCTTAAGGCACGATG